CCAAAGGCGGTGATGGCGAGTGAAAGTGATTTATCTCAGTGGAAGGATGATAAACCTATTTTTACTTCTCCTGCGAAATGGAAAAATAAAAGTTCCGCACTTTATACTACTTGGGATTGGGTACCCTCTAATGGGTACCCAGTTATGCCATCTTCAAACGGTGGTGAGCATAACCAGATTTCGGGGAGTCCATTAACCACCGTAAAGACATCAAATGACGGAGAAGGTCATGATGTGTCTCAAAGTGAACCACAATTATCCGCACCGGAAATACAACCTCAACAGGAAGAAGTTGTACTTCCTGTTTTGGAGGAAAATAGTAAAGCAGATAGTTTGGCGTCTCCTAAAAGCCAACACCAAGGAGATAAAGCTGCGGAAAGTGGTTTATCGTCAGGTGTTTCAGGCTCACCAAACAAAGAGAACTCCTCCGTAGAAACACAGTCACCTTTAATCACTACTACACGCACACACTCACCTGAAGGTGATCATTCTACCAGAAGCAGTCCAAAGGGTGAGTCTGACAATGCCACAGGTAACATTAATAACAATGATGTTCTTATTTCGCAGCATCCTTCTGCAGAAACAGAGAGTACTACACCTGGCGACCACAATACCTCCCAGAACTCATCTCATGCAGCTCTTGACACGAATATCAAAGAAGGTTCACAAGAAACAAATTCAACTATTCCGGCCAGCACTACGAACACTGTCAGTGAAGCAACAACCACAACATCAATTCCTTCAGTACCCAATTCGGAGATTAAGACTATTGCTTCCACTGTGCAGAACAAGCCCATTGTTGACAGCAGTGTCAGTCCTGTGTGGATACGCACTGCTGCACCGCTGCTGATTGTGGCTGTGTTGGTCTCCGTTACCGTGTACTGAACGGTGGGACTCATCTGAGAGCAAATAATAATAATAATGGTTAAACTAACATAATCATAATTGCGTATATCCCCCATGGGTAAATAAACTAACTAAAAATCGGTTTACCAGCTTTCTCTTTTAATTGGAATTTCTTTTCTTTTGCTTTTTTTTTTGTGTGTGTGTTCTTTTTCTAATAATTCCATTACTTGCTTTTTCCGTTGTGTGTTTGCAAAGGACTGGGCTGTTCTGTTCACTGACGGTATACATATCTTGCTAGTACACACAGATGTGTGTGTGTGTGGAGTAATTTAATATATAAACTAGAGCCGTGGGATATTGTGTGTGTGTTTGGCTCTCTCTCTTATTTGGGTATTGTATGTTCTTTTTTTGTTTCATTTCTATTAAGGGGTACATATTATTATAATACAAGTGGGCTATTCCTTTTTGTTGCTTTACTGTGCAGTTGCCGCTTCTCTCTTTTTCTCTCTATTTCACTGTTAGTGCTTGTTGTTCTGGTGTATGTTTGTTTGTTGCTATCTCACTTTTTCCTTGAGTTCCTCTTTCTTGCAGTAGTCTATTGTAGTAATCAGCAACAATGAGAGGGGCTCTAATGATGAGGTGCTATCTGCTCTGTTTACTAACTCTTGCACTTTGTTGTGCTTGTGGGTTAGTATGGGCTGATGGTCCTAAAGCTTCTGATGCCCTTATTAAAACTTCTGCTGTTGGTGTTCCTTCTCTTCTTCATCATGCTATTCCTTCGGGGGGAGGTCTTGGCGAAGCTGGAGAGGCTGCTAATATGCACAAAGCGCATAAGGAAGAGTTGAGGGGAACCCTGCCAACAGAAGCTGAGGAGGAGGTTGTTCCTGATCCTCTTTGTCCTGGTACTGGTGGTTCTTCTCCTTCTGGTTCTGATAGTAGTAATTGTCCTTCTGGTCATTCTTCTGGTCTTGCTGAACCACAAGCAGAACCTCGTGATCAAGGAAAACCACCTGGTGGTGTTGTTGCTGATCCTCAACGTGATATCAGTGAAGGTGATGAACAACTCGGTGTTAAGCTTCCTAGTGTTGGTGGTACTTCATCTGGTTCTCTTGATCCTTCTACAGTTTCTCTTCCAGAACCTCAAGGTGGTGGAGGGAATAACGGTCTAGGTGGTCATGTCCAACCATCCACTGTAGATCAGAATGCTCTTAGCAGAGATAGTCAAATACTGAAAGATTCTTCTGGGGATCTTTTACATAAAGAGAAAGAACCGATGCAAGGAGAAGAGATACCTCAACTGGATCCAAAGAGAAAAGAAGAGCCTCATAAACCCGCAGAAAATCAACCTGGTCGTCAAGACCCTGTAGAACCTCCAAGACAAGAAGATAATAAACAATCTACTCCTCCTGCACAAGCTCCTGATGGACCAGTTACTCCCACATCTCCTACGGCTGAGGAGCGTGTTGATGTGCCTACAGCTGAAGGTGGAAGTGAAACAGCAACACAACCTTCTCCTTCTCCCAACACTTCAGCCACAGGGAGTTCCGATGTTTCTGATGCTACAGCGACTCAGAATAATATTTCATCTGCAGAGAGTGAATCAACAAACAACCAAAATGAAGAAGGTGTTACAGGAAATACAGATACAACCACCACCACCAACACCACCACAACAACAACAACACTTCCTCCTGAGCTTACAAACAACAAGAAGGGTGATGCAGACAGCAGCAGCAGTATCAGCAGTTCTGTGTGGGTGCGTGTACCACTACTGATTGTGGTTACACTGGCCTGTATTCTTGTATGCTGATTGTGGTGATGTGGTGGTGTGGTGTGACTCAGATCATCCTTTGTTTTCTTTTCTTCTTTTTGCATACATCCACACTACAGTCTAACTAATCTTTCACATGTTGGGATTTTTCTTCTTTGTTTTTTGTTGCTTCTTAATGTTATTGTGTTTTGTGTGTTTTTGCTCTCTCTATGTTTATCCTATAATGATAATTATTGCTACTCCATTGTGTGTGTGTGTTCTTGGAGACTCTCTCTGTGTGCATCTGGGCTTGCACTGTGATGATGATGAACTGCTTTTTGTAGTGTGAAAAAGAAGTAATAATAACAGATGAATTTATATTTATAATTGCTTATGCACACATATAGACTTATACCCATAGTTGGTGTATTTCTGTGTTTACTTGGTAAATTGGGCTAATGTTTAATATCTGTTTGTTTGCTTGTGTTTTTTCTAGGTTGTTTTTGTGCCGCATTGTTATGATGATCTAGTTGGAATAGAGAAAAGAAAAGAACAGTAATTGTTAGACATAATTTTTATATTGCTTATAAGCCACGAACATGCTCAGTGTTTTGTGTTATTGTGTGTTTGTTGGGCATTTCGTTGTGCTTTTAATTTCTTTTTCATTGCTTCTTGTTTTTTTTCGGGTTTTTTTTTAGTGGTGCCTCTTTATTGGATTCTTTATTGTTTATACTGGTAGTATTGTTTTATGTTTACTGTTGATTTTCTTGTGTTTTACCATCTGTTTTTGTTTCTATTGTATGGGATATTTTTTATTTTTCTCTCTGTTCTCTTTCTCTTTAACGACGTGACGTAAAAGCAACCAAGAATTACTATTGCCATGATGATGCGACCCGTTGTGTGTTTTCTGGTTTTTCTGCTGAGTGTTGCCTCTCTATGCATGGAAGCTAACGCGTTTACGAATGAACCTGGAGAGATAAAGAATTTGTCGGACTGTTCTTCTGATACTTCTGAAGGTCATTGTACTCCTAAAGGTGATGGTAATGTCTTTACAGCTCTCTTGTATGACAGGGCTGGATCTGGCTCATCCTCTGATGGAAGTTCTCATTCTGGTTCCAGCAGTGGGTCTCCTGCGAGAGAAGCTCAGGGCTATCTCCAAGCACCAGTTCTGCCGGCACAGGAAGAGGTTCGTACAGGAGTCACACACCATACTAATCTAGAAAAACCTTTGCAAGAACAAGATGCTGAGAGAAGTAGGGAACAAGAAGGAGTAAAACCACCTGCCGCCGTTCTTTCCGACCAAGTCCCTGATACGGAGAGTGAGACAAAGATTCTTCTCCAACAACAACAACAATCTGGTACGAATTGCACTAATGGTACTTCTGAAGCTCCTGAACTTACTGAAAATCCAAAGACATGTCCTCCTAAAAAACCTGAAGTTCCTCCTGCTCAAGTACCTGAGGTACCAAAAGAGGGGGTTTCTTCTCATCCACGTGGGGAAGAAGGTTCTGTACAAGTGCAAACACCACCCACCACCACATCGCCTACTTCAACTAGAGTGACAACAGAAAACGGTGCCCCAGAATCAGGTGCAAAACCAAGTGATCCTGCTCAAGGCGCTGCAACGATTAATGATTCTTCGAGCACAGAAAATCAAGTAACAGAAGGGAATACTTCGACAAATGATAATGCTACACTTGGTGTCTCAACTGACTCTCCGGAGAGCACCAACCCATCCCAAGCTTCAAATACGACTGCTCCTAATTCTACTTCTGGCGAAGACTCACAAGAAACCAATTCCACTACTCTGCCGAGCGCCGAGAATACTACCACAGAAGCACCAACCACCACTCCATCTCCTTTACCCAACGCAGATATCAACACCAACACCATCACTTCCACCGTACAGAAGAAGGCTAATGTTGACAGCAGTATCAATTCTGTGTGGATGCGTACTACAGCACCGCTGTTGATTGTGGCTGTGTTGTTCTCTGTTAACGTCTACTGAACGGTGGGACTCATTTGAGGACAAATAATAATAATGGTTAAGCTAACATAATCATAATTGCGTACATCCCCCATGGGGTGAATAAATTAATAATCTGTTTACCAGCTTTCTCTTTTAATTCGAATTTCTTTTCTTTTACTTTTATGTGTATGTGTTCTTTTTCTATTAATTCCATTACTTGCTTTTCCCGTTGTGTTTGCAGAAAACTGGGCTGTTCTGCTCACTGACGGTATACATCTCTTGCTAGTACACCCAGATGTGTGTGGAGTAATTTAATACATAAACTAGAGCCATGTGGTATTGTGTGTGCTTTTGGAGACTCTCTGTGTGCCTGGGCTTGCACTGTGATAATGATGAACTGCTTTTTTGCAGTGAGGGAAAAAAGGAAATAAATAATAATAACAAATGAATTTGTATTTGTAATTGCTTATACGCACATATAGACTTACACCCATAGTTGGTATATTTCTCTGTTTACTGGGTACGTTGGGCTCAATGGTTAATATTTCTTTCTTTGCTTGTGGTTTGCTGGGTTTTTGTGTGCTTTACCCTGCACGGTTTTTGTGGTAGTCTGCTTTCTGCAGAGCAAAGAAAAAAATAGTAGTTAATACAATTTGTATTCTTATGTACTTGAGCACACCAGCATATTCAGTGGTCTGTGAGTTATTTTTGTGCGGTTGTTCCTGTTTTTAATTTGTGTTGTTTTTGTTCACGTTTTCTTTGCTTGGGCGCTGTGTGCTTTTTCCTGCATTGTTGTGTGGTGGAGTATTTTGTGGGGAGAAAAAATGATAAAGAATACATAAGTATATATTTGTAATTGTGCTTGGTTTATGCAGGAAGAGGCATTTTTGATGTATTTCTGTGATTTCTACCTCTTATGGTTGTACTCTTTAATTTCTTTGGTTTTTCTTTTTAGGGGTTAATTGGGATTATCTGTTTGTTATTGGGTACTGTGTGCGTTTTTACTTTAATTTGGGATATTGTCTGAGTTATGGTTGCATCTTTACGCAATTTGTGAGCTTCTACTGTAATTGTTGATTGTTGTTTGATTTGGTATGTGTTTTCATCTTGTGTTTGTTTCTATTGATTCATTTTCTTTCTGTTTTTATTGGTTTTTCTTCTGTGTAAGCGATTGAAGTAAGACTACTAGAAGAAGTATTGTAATGGTAATGATGCGCTACGTGCTGTGTATCCTCGCTCTCCTGCTCTCATGTGCGTGTGTGCACGTCCTCGCTGAAGAAGTGCCTGCCGCCGATCTTTCCGACCAAGTCCCTGATACGGAGAGTGAGACGAAGATTCTTCTTCAAGGTACTCCTGTCCATGGTGCCGCTGGTCAGGAGCCTCATAAAGAGAAAGAAACGTTGACAGGTACTCGGAAAACAGAATGTGAGGGAACAACTGGTGAGGAAGCAGAGAAGGAACACTGCAAAACACCACCCACGGTGGTGTCTAACCCAGAAGAAGTTCAAATGGTACAGGAAGAACAAACTGACAGCCGTAAAGATCTGCAAAACAATGCAAGCCAACCTGGAAGTGGTCATGGTGATTCCACGGCAGTAAAGAACAGAGAACAAACTGGACAAAGGGAGGGAAATGAACAAGATGGAGGTCCGGAAGGTAACAAAAGGAACCAACAACAATCTGTCAGTGGACCAGAAACAGTTACATCTGGAAGAACACAAGTCCCCAGTAGCAGGGATCAAGACACACCAGAGCGACAGGCACAGGGAAGTAATACACAACCTCAAGAAGATCGAAACACACAACCTTCTTCTTCTGTAAACCAATCCGGCAATTCGGAAACAGAGAATGCCACTGAAACTGATAATGGAGCGAATGGAAATATTGCCACAAATGCGCAGAGTGCGTCCACAAGCAACGAAGAAAGTCTTGAAGGTAATACAGATACACCCACCACTACCACCACCACCACCACAACAACAACAACAACACTTCCTCCTGAACTCACAAACAACAAGAAGGGTGATGCAGACAGCAGCAGCAGTATCAGCAGTTCTGTGTGGGTGCGTGTACCACTACTGATTGTGGTTACACTGGCCTGTATTCTTGTGTACTGAACGGTGAGTCTCATCTGAGGGCAAATAATAATAATGGTTAAACTAACATAATTATATTTGCATATATCCCCCATGGGTGAATAAACTAATAATCTGTTTACCAGGATTCTCTTTTAATTCGAATATATTTTCTTTTGCTTTTATGTGTGTGTGTTCTTTTTCTAATAATTTCATTACTTGCTTTTTCCGTTGTGTGTGTGCAGAAAACTGGGCTGCTCTGCTCACTGACGGTATACATCTCTTGCTAGTACACACAGATGTGTGTTTGTGCAGTAATTTAGTACATAAACTAGAGCCATGGGGTATTTTGTGTTTTATTGGTCACAGTCTGTATGTGTGCCTGGGCTTGAACTGTGATGATGATGATGAACTTGTTTTTTGCAGTGAGAAAAAAGAAATAATAATAACAGATGAATTTATAATTGCATATATACACACATATAGACTTACACCCATAGTTAGTGTGTATTTCTGTGTTTACTGATTACGTTGGGCTAATTGTTGAAATATCTGTTTCTTTGGTTTGCTTTTGTTTACCTTGTACTGATTTGCTTTCTGAAGAAAAAAGAGTAACTGATACACAATTATTGTTAATTGCTTATGCACAAATGCACATCACGGTCTGAATGCTGTTTATTTGCAGTTGGTGGTTTTGTTGTCTGTGCTCGTAAATTGTTTATAATTGTTTTTGCTTGGGTTTTTTTTTTTTTGTGAGCTGCCTGTTTCTTCGGTTTTTTATACTTTGTGTAGGTGTTCGTCTTGTGAGTGATTGTTGCTTGATTCTTGCATTCTTTCCCGTGTGTGTGTTTCCAATTCATTTTACTTTTGTTATATTTTCTTTTTTTGTGCTTTAACAGTTCATATACCTAAGAAAACAAAGGAGGATTAAAGTTTTCCGTGATGAGGGTGCTGCGACGCGTGTTGTGTTTTTTTGCTCTCATGCTGAGTCTTGCCTCTCTCTGCGTGTCCGGTAGCCAGGCTGCTGCAGCTGCTAAAGCTTCTCCTGAATCTCGTTGCCCTTCTGGTTCTGGGTCTGAATGCCCCCCTACTGCACCTGGTGTTGTCCCTGGATCTAGTGGTTCTTGTCCTACTGGTACCCAACCTTGTACTGTTCCTGATGCTGCCGCTGCTGCTGCTACTGGTTCATGTTCTGGTGTCTCTTGTACTCCTACTTCTCAAGATGCATCAGTTGGTAGTAATGGTGGTGGGGATCGATCTAAAGTAACAGCACCTGAGTTAACAGGAAAAGCAGGTCAAGCTTCTGCTGGCGAAGTTGCTGCTGCTGGTGAAGGAGGTCGCGCTGGTGCTCAAGCTGACCAGGAAACTCCGGTACATCAAGGTGAACAAGAGGCTGCTGCACCAACTGATACTACTGGGAGACCTGAGGCACCTGCAAGTGAACCTAACACTGGAAACAGCAGCAACAATGAAGGAAGTGGAAGTGAAACATCACAACCTCCATCTTCTCCTAACGGTACAGCCCCAGCGAGTGAAGCTGGTTCTAATCCCGTATCGAATGAGAACGAACGTACATCTGAAGGGAGTGAAGCAACAAGTACCCAAGAAGGTGATGCAAGTAATACAGACACCACCACCACCACCACCACTACCACCACCACCACAACAACAACACTTCCTCCTGAACTCACAAACAACAAGAAGGGTGATGCAGACAGCAGCAGCAGTATCAGCAGTTCTGTGTGGGTACGTTTGCCACTACTGATTGTGGTTACACTGGCCTGTATTCTTGTGTGCTGATTGTGGTGGTGTGACTCAGGTCATCCTTTGTTTTCTCTTTTCTTTTTTGCATACATCCCTACAGTCTAACTACTCTTCCACCTGTTGGGTTATTCTTCTTCTTTTTTTGTTTCTTAATGTTATTGTGTTTTGTGTGTGTTTTTGCTCTCTCTTTGTTTATCCTATAATAATTATTATTGCTACTCCATTGTGTGTATTCTTGGAGACTCTCTCTCTGTGTGTGCACCTGGGCTTGCACTGTAATGATAATAATGAGCTGTTTTTTGCAGTGGAAAGAAAAGAAATAATAATAACAGATGAATTTATATTTATAATTGCGTATATATATATATTCAGATATAGAATTACACCCATTGTTGGTGTGTATTTCTTTGTGTTTACTGGGTAAATTGGGCTAATGTTTAATATGTTTTTCTTTGCTTGATGATTTGGCTGGGTCGCCGAGCCTTTTGTGAGATATTTGTGAGTGTGGCCTTTTTTTTTGTTTTGCTCTTACTGAGGTTATTGCTCTGTATTGCATTCTTTAACTGGTGGGTTTTGTTTTTGTGATGTGAGTTTCTATAGTGGTAATCGCTTGATTTGTCCTAACATGTTTGATCCCTTAGTGTTTTTTGTTTTTTTGTTTTTTTGATTGTCTTTCTTTCTAGATCAGTGTTTTTACGTGAAATAAACTATTGTCTCTCTCTCATGATAATGATGATGGGCCGTGTGATGTGTGTGTTGGCCGTTGTGCTGTGCTGCGCCTGCGGGTATACCATGACGGCTGCTGCTGTTGTTGATAATGACAGTCCCAGTGGCCGTGGTGTATCCCGTGGGGCTGTGGAGGTGTCGTGCGGGGCCGGCGGTGCGCTGCGTGTACGCCCCGCTGCTGAGAGCGAGTGGCTTACATGCGGTGCGGGCAGCCGTGTGTCTGCATGTGGGAAGTTCGCAGACCTCTGCCGCCAGCGTACCGCAAGGGTAAAGTATTACGCAGCTACAACAGCGGCTGCTGATCCAAACGATTCCTCTTCTGAATCTGAAAACCCAGTTGATGCCTCCTCTGAATCTGAAAAACCAGTTGATGGCTCCTCTGAATCTGAAAAGTCAGGTGGTGCCTCCTCTGAGTCTGGTAAAGCATATGGTTCTTCTGAATCTGAAAAGTCAGTTGGTGCCTCCTCTGAGTCTGGTAAAGTATATGGTTCTTCTGAATCTGAAAACCCATTTGGTGCCTCCTCTGAGTCTGGTAATGCATATGGCTCTTCTGAATCTGAAAAGCCTGTTGATGGCTCCTCTGATTCTGGTAATGGGTATGGTTCGTCTGAATCTGAAAAGTCAGGTGGTGCCTCCTCTGA